TAATCATCTATCTCATTTACAACAAGTGTGATCAACATTGCAACATTCATACATATACAAGTATCATAATGAAGCAAGAACAAACATACATCACACAATCATAGAATCACAACTATCACCTACCTCGAAACAAGCTTGAAACCCTAAGAAACTTGATCCTTCCCTTTCCGGATTCGTTTTGCTTATTCTTGGTCTATAAACAATCAATATAATACGAGAATCAATAAACAATCACTAATTATCCGAATTACTAACAATTCTATGAACCCTAGATCATACCCATGATCTCAATTATCCAAATTAGGGTTGTTTCCACCATAGAATCTATAACAAAACCCTCCCCTATCAATATTCACCCATTCTATTACGTTTCACGAATCGAAAAAAATAGATTCGGGGAGTGAAAAACTTACCTTTAGCCTCAAGAATGGTGAAAAAAGAGTAGGAGTCGCCTGGGGTTCGTTCCTTAGCTCTAAAAGTAAAAAGTGCATAATAAGGCCGTTTAGGGGTTTATTAACGACCTTAAGTCGTGTTGAGCCCGCCACAACAGCCCTCATCCCGCTGTAGCGGCCTCGCCAGAGCGGCCAAAACACCCGCCAAGGCAGCTTGCACGAACTAGAGAGCTATTTTGAGAAATCCAAAATCCTCATTTCACAACACACCTCTAACCAATGACGCTCAGAAAAATACCCTTAGCGCTAAGATCGATTCCGAGAGTTCTACTCACCCGAATTCAATTCTGTAAAGTCGTACGAATTTCTTAATGAGTTATCTAACTACTCATGCAATCAAAATCATAAATGATCAACCCAATTGTTACCAGATTTCCCTACACATCAAAGACTCCAATTTCGTCCAAATCTGGACAAGATTGGGAAAATCCAAATACTATGAAAAAAGTTTTTCCGGCCCCAAATTTTTCCCCGTTGGCTTTTCTATAACGATGGGAACATGTCGTTACAATAGATACCAATTTACCCATCACTCGTCCCCGAGTGACAAAACTTAGGAAAATAGGCTAAGGAAGGAATGAAATAGTACCTGAATCAACGAACAATTGGGGATACTTGTCTCGCATGTCCCTCTTTGTTTCCCAAGTAGCTTCCTCAACTGGACGATGCTTCTATTGAACTTTCACGAACTTAATCTCCTTGGTCCTCAACTTATGCACATCACAATCAAGAATTGCAATCGGTTCCTCCTCATATTGGAGGTCATTGTCTAACACAATTGAGTCCCACTTTATGATATAATCCCCATCACCATGATATCTCTTCAACATGGACACGTGAAATACCAGATGAACTCCCGATAGATTATGAGGTAAAGCCAATCTATACGCTACCGGTCGCACACATTCAAGAATCTCAAAAGGACCAATGCATCTAGGACTTAGCTTACCTTTCTTACTAAATCTCATCACCCCTTTCATGGGTGATTCCTTAAGAAAAACATTCTCACCAGTTTGAAACGCCATGTCTCTTACCTTATGATCCGTCTACTCTGGGCTGCTAAAAGCTTAGCTTGAATACTCCTTACCTTATTTTGAGCATCCTTCACTGAATCTACCCCCAAAGGTTTCACATCTCCAGCCTCAAACCATCCTATGGGTGATCTACATCCCCTCCTATAAAGTGCCTCAAAATGGTGCCATATCAATGCTAGAGTGATAACTATTATTATAGGAGAACTCACACAAATGTATGAATTTATCCCAATGCCCTCCAAAATCAAGCACACATCCCCTCAACATGTCTTCTACAACTTGAATAGTCCTCTCTGACAGTCTGTCTGCCTGTGAATGGAAGACTTAAAAGTGAGTTGGGTGCCCAATTCATCATGCAATTTCCTCCAAAACTTGGATGTGAATTGGGTACCACGGTCTAAGGTGATAAAGAGGGGCACCCCATGCAACCTCACTATCCCTTTCACATAAACCTTAGCCAATTGTTCAGTATTATAATCTATTCTTACCGGAATGAAATGGGCTGATTTAGTCAATCTATCAACCACTACCCAAATGGAATCAAACTTCCCCAAAGTCTTGGGAAAACCAACCACAAAATCCATGGCTATCCTTTCCCCTTTCCATTCCGGAATTGGCATTCTTTGAAGTAAACCTGCAGGCCTTTGATGTTCATATTTCACTTGTTGACAATTTTGACACTTCGTTACAAACTCCGCTATGTCTTTCTTCATGCCCGACCACCAATAAATTCGCTTCAAATCTTGATACATCTTGGTCACACCCGAATGAATAGAATATCGCGAACCATGAGACTCCGCCAACAATTTCTCAATCAAGTCATCTACTCTAGGAAAATAAATTCTTCCTTTAAAATTGAGCACACCATTCGTATCAGGAGTAGTCTCTTGTGCCTTACCATTCGCAATCTTCTCTCTAAGCTCCTCCAAATTCTCATCCTCTAATTGTTTGTCCTTGATATACTCAATGAATGTGGCCCTCACTTCAATACTAGCTAAAACCCCACCTCTTTCTGAGATGCCCATGCCCAATTGTATGAACTTAGACTCTAAGGTCTGAATTTCTTTAGCCAAA